TATCCCTCAAGGCTTGTCTGCTGTTAAGAAGAAAATTTTGCTTCTTAGTTTGGCCTTTTTTATTGTTGACCTTTTTGTCCCTATGCAAGTATTTTTGTGTAGAACAGGAAAGGGAAGCAGGGACACAGGAAACTGGTGCAGATGTGACTGAAGGGGTGGTTACTGGGGAGGTGGCATTTTCTGGGTGATGTTTTAATTTGAAATGCACAGTTTCTGTGAAGGCCCAGCTTAGGGAAAGCCTTCAACATTGTGAGTCTTGTGGAAAAAGGGTTTCTGTATTCCCAAGGTTAGGTGAAAATGTTCAAAGGAAACCCTTACCCCAAACCAGGGCCACTTGACAGGCCCAAGTTGTCAAGAAATGTGCTGCCCATGGAGTTCCTGCAAAGCAACTAGCAGCTAACCCCTATTGTTATGATCTGCTGGCTTGGTCTGTCACTCGGGTACCCAGTCCCTTTAAGAGACAAGCCCTGCCTACTCCCCAACCCCACCCCTTTCCACCAAGGCAAGCAGATCTCCTGCCTCCTCCAACCTGAGCTCTCTCTCTCTTTCAGTCCCTCTTTTGAAGAGGTAACTACTGTCTCTCTCCCTCCACCTTTCTCCTCTGTCTGTCTGTCTGTCTGTCTGTCTGTCTGTCTGTCTCTCCTCTTTCCCTTTCTCCCCTTTCGTTTCCCCTCCATAACCCACTAAATAAACTCTATACCCAAACTCTCTCTGCATGGCGTATCTGTCTGTCTCTCATCCACCATGGTCCCACTACTGCTCTGCTGAGGCCTCTCGTGGGACTGGCTGCCCTCCTTGTGGGACTGGCCTTACCCCATTAACCATCTTTAAAAAAGAATAACACCTATTACATGCCCTGAAGCCCAGAGAGTCAACCCCCCACACATACTTATCTCTTACTTTGCAGTTGAAATAAGGAGTAGTTTCTATGTCAGGTGAAGCCAGGCCCTCCCCCTCTCTGCTCTCTATCACTTACACTGATCTCAGGCCCAGCTAAGCTCACTCTCCTGAACTGTGAGATACTAATTTGGGCTGCCACTCTCAGACTTATAAAAGTCTGCTCTTTTTGATTTGAGGTTGAACTGAGTATAATATTTCTTTTTTTTCCTCTCTCTACTGACTTTTTCTTTTTTTCTCTTTTGTTTGTTTTATTTTGTTGTTGTTTGTTGTTGTTGTTTTCAAGACAGGATTTCTCTGTGTAGCTCTGACTGTCCTAGAACTTGCTCTGTAGACCAGCCTGGTCTCGAACTCAGAGATCCACCTGTCTCTGCCTCCTGAGTGCTGGGATTAACAGTGTGAACTGCCACACCGGGTTTGGTGACTTTTCTTACAATGAGAAGGTCCCTTTGACCTTCCAAGTTATGTAGGCTTGGAGAATCAGAGATCCACCTCTGGTACAGGGGACGTGAGTGGGTTGCAGGCTTTTAGAATCCCATCCTTTTTTTTTTTAAAGATTTGTTTATTTTTTATGTATACAACATTCTGTCTCCATGTATGCCCACATGCCAGAAGAGAGCACCAGATCTCATTACAGGTGGTTGTGAGCCACCATGTGGTTGCTGGGAATTGAACTCAGACCTCCGGAAGAGCAGCCAGTACTCTTAACCACTGAGCCATCTCTCCAGCCCAGAATCCCATCCTTGCTTTTGGTCATTCACGGGTGATCCTCCCTAGGGCTTCATCTCAGTGTTAATATGTTCCTTCAGTTTGGGAGGAGGACCTTTTGTGTGTGTGTGGGGGGGGTTCCTTTCTTTTTAACAGCCTACTTATCTAGATGACATCAGGTATTTCCTTCTTTTCTCTCTGGATTCATTTTTTAATGCTGGCACCTTTTATTTGACCAGTGGTGGACAATACTGACAATCTAGGAACAATGCAGACTGTTTTGAATTTAGTAAAAAGATTGCAAGTCTGGGTGCAGTGAAAACACTCCATGGGTAGAACGAAAGCTTTATTGGTGCTCCCACTTCCAAGACTGTCTCACAGGGTTAGGGGAAGATGGGAAGACACATTCAAAATGGAGTGAGAGAAAGCGGATATTAGACAGTCAACAGGTGGGGGTCTAAGTTGTTAGGATTGACTGGGATCTAGATGATCCTACCCAAGGTAGTTGATCTTCAGGATGGATTAAGAGATGTTCCTGACAAACAGAATCCTGCCTTAGGAGATCTGTTCCTCTGGTAAATAGAAGCAAGCCTAGTTTACCCAATAAAACTCCTGTTTATTCAGCCAAAGTCTTTCTATTTAGGAAATTGTCACCACCACTGACATTTTGGGAAGATGATTTGAACCTAACAAAGATAAAAGTAGAATATTAGACAATTTACTAAACATACTGCCGTGGGGTCCGAGCTGACTGCCAGAGCAAAGAACTCACTGCTTTTACTGAGAGGATAGGGAAGACTTTTAGAGCAGTTGAGTGAGAGGATATTTAGTCTTACTGCCGGACCATTTGTATAGGTTCTATATTCTTTAAAGCATTTATTTATTTATTTATTTATTTATTTATTTATGAATGCTCAGTTTGCATTTATGCCTTTATGCCAGAAGAGAACATCAGATCCTTCTGGGACAGTTGTGAGTCACCATGTGGTTCCTGGGAATCGAATTCAGGACACCTGAAAGAGTTGCCAATGCTCTTAACCACTGAGCCATCTCTCCATGCCTAGGTTCTATATTTGAGAGGGAGAGGCTGGATTTTCTAGCAGCCAATAGTCTGTTTACACTGGCCACTGAGGGTCAGGTGCCATGTGTCATCCTTGGGAAGGTCAGTTATACATGCTCACAGTGGACACCGTTGTAGGGTATCCACCAGAGAAGACTGCTCAGACATGGTTTTAAGCTAACAGAGAATCTTTATTTGTCAGTCAGTGACTACACTGGGTGTTTGGGATCCCAGGTGAGCTTTTCTGCATAAAAACCATGTCCTGCGTGGACATACTTCAGTTAACAAGAACAGTTAGCCTAAAAGCAAGGATAGTGCATTTAGAGACTTTCCCAGAACTATGGACATTGGTGGTACTGTGTACATGCCGAGTTTTACAGCACGAATGGTATTTCCATCACAAACTCAGTTGTGGGCAGGTCTGGGGACCAACTAAAGTCTGGAGACCTGCTACATCATCATGAATCATGCGGTCAAGCTGAGCAGTCAGGGTCTAGTTTTTTATTATTATTCTTTTGAGACAAGGTCTAACTAGGTAGCTCTGGCTGGCCCAGATAGACCAGGTTGGCCTTGAACTCAGAGCTCAGGACTATCCCAAGTGTTCACAAGTCCAAATCCATGGCCTGTGCCAACACATCTAATATCTAATTTTAAATGTATTGGGATTTTATGCTGTTATTTTGAGCCAGTTTTTCACTATAAACTCTACTTCCTCTCCGACTGGAATAATTGTCATTGCTTGTGTATTTTTATGTTATTGGTTGAATATGGGATTGAGAAAACCTTGGGAATCTCCCTCATTCCAAATTCTGAGGTGGAAAAAGACAAGTGTAATAAGAAATAAGTCAGTAAAGGAAAACAAACAAAAAATAGATTTAGTTAGACCTTGAAACAGCATGTGTTGGCTGTCAATTTGACTACATCTAATCCGGATCTTTTGGGTGGGAAAACACATCTATAATCTAGTTTTGTTGTTTGTTTTGGTTTTGTTTGAGTTGAGAAAAGGCATACTTTTAATCCAGATCTTTAACCCATATCTAAACTAGGTTGAGCTTCTGCTAGAAGCCTATATAAGGACGTGGGAGAAGGAAGCTTTTGCTCTTTGCCTGCTTCCTCTTGCCTTGCTAGCAAGCCCATTCCTTCACTGGCATTGGAGCCTGCCTCTTGGGATTCTAGTATCTACTGAAGACCAGCTGAGACTTTCAGCCTGTGTACTAAGCAACTACCGGATTCTTGAACTTTCTGTTCATAGCTAGCCACTGTTGGATTGGATTAGCCAGACCACAGCCAATAAATGATTCTAATAAATCCCCTAATATACATATGCACACACACACACATTGCTGTGGACTATTTGTTTAACTAACACAATGTGTTGCATTCTTTTATGTTGTATTTGTTTAACTCTGTGAAGCTGTGTTACTTTGCCTGTCTAAAACTCCTGATGTTCTAATAAAGAGCTGAACAGTCAATAGTGAGTCAGGACAAAGGACAGGCAGGGCTGTCAGGCAGAGAGTATAAATAGAAGAAGAAATCTGGGAAAAGAAACAAGAGAGATCAAGGAGCAAGGAAAGAAGGGGCCTGCCACCAAACCAGAGTAAGAGTGGAAGTAAGATTACAGAAGTAAGAAAAGAAAAAAGTCCAGAGGCAAAAGGTAGATGGGATAATTTAAGAAAAGCTGGCAAGAAAGGAGCCAAGATAAGGCTGGGCATTCATAAGAAAGAATAAGACTCCCTGTGTAATTTTTTGGGGAGCTGGGTGATGGGCCCTCAAAAGAGTGAAAAAACAAACATGTTGGCATTCCAACCTGGGACTAGAGTAAAAGAAAATCCAACAACATCATATACATATGTGTGTGTTCTGTTACACTAAAGAACCCTGACTATCACTCAGTGAGAGCAGACATTTATTGGTCTGAGAAATTGAGACCTCCAAACCTGAACACACCGCACAGGGGCTGAGAATCAATTTTTGCAGTAGAGCAGGGAGGGGGAGGTCGGGCTTCAAGAGGCTCAGAAACTGATCCCCCCCCCCCCCCCCGCCTTTCTCTTTCTTTTTCCCTGTTAATCGCAGGGTGAAGGTTAAACCAGATTACCTGATTTTGTAAATTCCATGGATGGAAGGCTTGCTGCAGTCTTGGGCAGGTTGGTGATGGGGTTGTGGGGTGATGGGGGCAGGGCATTTCCTTTAATGAGGCCCGCCCTCCTTCTCCAGCAGGACCAGCCTATTCAAGGCGGTCCTTTGAGTTGTCTCCATGGTCACCGAGTCTGGAATTCTTTAAACTCTTGCTGTCATAGCACTCTGAGGGGGAAGAAGTAGGAATTGTCCCGAGCAAGTGGAGACCAGAACAAATTATGCTTAAGTAATAGTAATTATTTCCCCCCGACAGGGACAGAAAGCTAGGACCTAGAGTGTGTGATTTGCTCACTATTTCGCCTAGGAAAACTTGTGTCTCCTGTCACTAGAGCTCCAGGACCTGAGCCAAGGGCTTGCTGGCCTATCAGAATAAAGGTTATTACTTTAGTGCCAGAAGTGTCCAATGAGGAGTATGCTTCTTAGGTGAGGGAATTTGCCTAACCTAGGTCTGTTTCCTTAACCCCGAACATTAGGCATGTTTGTGTTCTTAGCAAGTATGTCCTAGATCCCGGGGCTAGAAATCAGAGTCGCCTTCACTGACAACAGGAGCGCAGGAGGATACAAGGACACTCCTTGGCTGGAAATGGTACGTTCGGTCCGAATCTTGGATATGGGGCGGAGGGATGCTGAATATGGAAGCTGCTTTGGGAACCGGCCTTCCAAGGCAGCCGAGTCTGCAGCTGAGTCTCCTCTGGCTCCGGGTCCGATTGGGTGGTGCTGGGTCCACAGGCAGAACCGCGGTCCTGTCCGTTGCTGAGCGCTCAGTGCTGCGGCGTGTCGGGTCAGTGGGACGCCCGCAGCCTTTCCTGCAGTCTGGGCGGTGTCGCCAGAAGGCTGTGCGGAACCAGCCTGGGAGTTGGACCGGGGCTCAGGTGCGGGTAGGTGGGGGTGGAGTTGCTTAGATAGTGAAGGTTAAGACACTGGTTCTGTAGCTGCCTTCTCCGTCCCCTAAAATCTCGCCACGCTACATGCAGTGTCCCAGAGAATCAGTGACTCTCGAAGTAAAGAAAAAAGAAAAGGAAAGGAAAAAGGAAAAGGAGGCAGACTCTTATCTCAACTGACGGAAACCGATTTTTTTGAGCATCGAGTGGGACCAATCTTTCTGGAACAAAGATTGAATGCCCTTAGAGCAGTGGTTCTCAACCTTCCTAAGGCTGCAACCTCTTAATAGCGTTCCTCATGTTGTGGTGACCGCCCCTCCCACACACACACCATACAACTATTTTCGTTGCTACTTCATTACTGTAATTTTGCTACTGTTATGACTCCTAAGGTAAATGTCTGATATGCAGGATATCTGATAGGGGAACCCTGCACCATTGGACCCCTAGGGGGTCCTGACTAACGTTGAGAAAGGCTGCCTGAGAGGATGTGGGGGACATGTATATACACAAAGGTAGCCACCAGGAAGTTAGAGATATTTTTCTTTCTGGTTTGACTGGGAGCAGAGGGAGTTGTTTTCAACAAAGATATATCTTCAGGACAAGAGGAATGGTCAAGCCAGGGTTGAGCAATTCTTTATGGCTAGGGGCTATTGGCCAGCGCAGCCTGACTCAGTTACTCATGGCCAGAGACTTTTACCCACCCAAAGAGCAGCTGCATTTAAAATGGGAAAACCAAACCTTTGTAGACTCTTGAATTTTGCCTTCCCATCTGTAATGACTAGATGCAGGATGGCTTAGAGTTATAGCTCTAATCTTTGTTATTGGTTGGTTGGTTTCTCCAAACAGAGTTTCTCTGTGTAGCCCTGGCTGTCCTGGAACCCGTGTTGTAGACTAGGCTGGCCTAGGTCTCAGACATCCACCTGCCTCTGCTTCCCAAAGCTGGATTTAAAGGGGTGCACCGCCACACCCTGCTCCTGGGCTCTAGTCTTTGTCAACCCCGCTACTCTTTCACACTGCCAGTTTTTTGGTTGGGTCTGGGGACACTGAATATTCCTGAACCCACCCTAAACCTTCTCGAGCAGGTAAATTCCCTCACTCCTCCAGAGATAAAGGTTGTTTCTTCCTTCAGGACTTCAACATGGCTGCCTGTGGCAGATTCCCCCAAAAAAATCTCTCCTCGGCTCCCTTTCTGCCAAACCTGTAACTGCTCCTTTGTGTTCTTGAACTTGGCATTCCCAACCTGTGCCCCAAGTCAGGTCCAGCCAATAAAAAGAACCAAGTTATTAGCGAAAAGCAGAAAAAGACGAGTTCAGTGTCTGTGAATACAACGGTTGCAGTAAAGAAACCAGAATAGAGCTGCTCTGTGGGGGAAGGAGGAAAATGTTTATTACAAACTGCCCAGGCAGGAAAACATAGAGAACCTAAGGGGGGAAATTTCCAGGGTTTTAAGGGAAGATGTGTCTGGAGGGAGGGGAGCCCCTGACCTGGGATAGGCTGCTGTTAAAGGTATAACTGGTATCTGTGTGTAGGAATAGAAGGAGCCTAGAGGCTAGCATAGACATTGGTATGCTAAGAGGCACCAAAGGCATATGTGAATGGAAAAGCCATAGGGCCCTGTTGCCAGCCGTAATGAGGATTTCATGTTTAAGCAGGTGAGAACTGTTTTCTCAAGTTCCCGAGGGAATGTTGGCTTTTGTCAAAATGCTAAGCTTTGGGAAAGTGAATTTCATAGGACTAGTCAATATGGACATTGGGAGAGGAGCAGAGAGATCTAGGGAGGCCCCTAAATCTGTTTTCAGGGCCCTGAAGTGAAAAAGTTTAAAGAGGACCAAGGACTAGCATATGCAATGCAGGTCAAGGTGAGGTCCCACCCCCCCTCATTGACCCATCTTTGCTGGGCTTCAGTCTCTTCCTGGCAGGGGGTCTGACAAGTGTTAGAAGGGTATGAAATCCCTTTCTGAGAGACAAGCTCCCCTCTCTGATTGGCACCTTTTCCTTCTTTCAACTTGAGATTCCTGAGAAAACTCCCTTGGGTTGGGGGGGTGTCCATTATTTCAGGGTCTTTAGAATATCCTCAGTTCTGCCAGGCAGGTTACAGTCAGAATTTATTGACCACTCATTTTCACCAGCATTGGTGGTGGTGGTGGTGGTGGTGGTAATTTACCGAATAAGCCAGACGTTGCTTTCTACCTAGGCAGTGGCAATCCCAGTGCTTTTATTCCAATCTTTTAACTTGTTTGTGTTGTGAGACTGAGTCTCACAATGTAGTCTTGCCTGATCTGGAATTCATGATTAGAGACCAGACTGACTTGAAACTTAAAGATCTGTCAGCCTGGTCTCCAGAGTACTGAGGCTAAAAGGTATGTGCCACCATGCTTGGCCTTTTGTCCTAAATTTGTTGTTGTTGTTTGTTTGTTTGTTTTAAGACAGCATCTGCTCACTCTGTGCCCCTGGCTGGCCTACACCTATGTAGGTAGAGGAGGCTGGCATTGAACTCACAGAGCTGCCTGCCTGGCTCTCCCTCCCAAGTGCTGGGGTGAAAGATGTGCACAGCCACACCTGACCCTTTTATCCCAGTTTGAATCACTAACACTAACCAGCAGATCACACATTGGCAGTTCACACAGTGACAGGCAGCTCAGGCCACAGAATGGTAGGAAATGGATAAGAGGCTGCAGGGAACAGAGTCTGTGCTGAAGTCCCAGGTGGGGAGCTGAGGGAGGCCTAAGGGGAAGTCTGGAGGGACCAGAATTCTCAGCAGTGCAGGTGTGGAAGTGTCAATTGCCTGCTTGGGGGTGGGGGGGGGGCAGCAGGCTGTGGGATGGGGAGTTGGAAGTGGGCTGAGTGTTTGGCCATGAAGAAACTGCTGGAGCAAGGTTGGGGTGGGGGACATGGTTAGCAAGGAGTTGAGAAGTTTCCTGGCCTTTGACAGCTGACCCTGTTCTGACTCACCCCTGCCACACTTTGGTGTTTTACAGTCTCAGGTTAGGGGGTTCCATCTGTTGTGGCTCAAAAGGGGCCGTGTCTGGCGTTCTGGTATGATTTGGTATATTTTCCGGCGTTGTTACTTATTGGTGTAGTTAATGTCTCTTGGCGTGCTGGCAGATGGTGGGTGTTTGCTTAGGTAAACAAGCTGTTCTTCTGTAAGGTCCCCTCTTTCTGGGTCCTGATACTCTGTGTGTCACAAATCAGATCAAGATTGCAGGCTCTGTCACTAAGGTGTTGTTCAGCATAGCAGTAACCAAGAGCAGTCCCTTCCCATTTCCCTCCTTGTCTTTAGGAGAGTCTCAGATTCAAGGGCTGTTTCCTCTAATTCTGTGATCTGTGCCCTTGGGCCCAGAATTCTTAGGACTGGGAATAAATCTCTAACTTTCCCAGTGTTTCTGCATTGCCAGACTCACTGAAAAGGGATGGGTGAGTGGACTTGGCCTCTGTCATAATTGTCACTGTCCTTGGAGTCTTTCCAACTCTTGTTTTAAAAAGCAAGTTTGTGATGGAGCTAGGCCATGATGACATGTGGAAGGAGAGAGTTGCAGTAAGGAGTAGGCCCCAGTGGTATGTCTGCAAGCTTCTCTACAGTTTGACTGAAGAGGGCTGTTCTCTCTTAGGGAGGAGAAAACAGAGCTAAGTATGGGAAAACAGAAGGAAGGAGAAGATGGGGAAGGTATGATGGAGGGTGTAGTAGTCAGCCGCTAGATCAGACAGCAGTTTTCTCTGAGGTCATCCTGTCTTTGGGGTTACAGTGAGGAATGAGCAACTCTATGATCAGAGTGGGTGTTGGTCAGCGGTCACTGGCATGAAGAGGACAAAAAGAAATCTACTTAAGTATTGTCTGTCTTCTGTTGAGTTTAGTGTTTATTGAAGCTAAAAGTTTCCAAGCCCTGTTGGGAGTGAAAACAATATTATTAGGATGTTTGCAGTGTTTGTTGTCCCACGTTAAAGGCACAGTGAGGCAAATAATAACACATGGAGTTGGTACCTGTAGGGGTTCTGGTATTTGAACTTGGGTCCTCCAGAAGAGCAGCAAGCCCTCTTCACCACTGAGCCATCTTCAGCCCAAAGACCTCTCTCTTAGACCAGTGATTTCTCTTTGTTTTCCCCCAACAACATTGAGAGCAGAGCAAGCACAACCCCTGTGTTTCTCTTTCCCTGCTGGTCTCTGAGTTAGAGATACCTTCGTTCCTTGTCTATAATCACTTCCCGTGATCCTGTTGGAATATCCTTTTTTTTTCCTTCTTGTAACAATGTTCTTCAATTTAAGGCTGAGTCTCCTGAACATGGGGGATGCCCTGTAGTTCTCCGACCCAGAGTCGCTCCGTTGGAAATAGGCAGCTTTCCCTCTGCTAGCTGCCTGGTTAGGACTGGAACATCGCGCACACTTCTTCCCCATGCCGTGATCTCTCCTGACTTGGTCGTGTGCATGCTGTCAGTCTCTCTGAGTTCTTATGTGCTCAGCCCTGTTGTGTTTGGAGGATGTCGGTCCCTTGGCGTCACTCAGTACCCTTGGCTCTTAGAACAAGTATTTTTCCACCTCCTCTTCTGCATAGATCTCTGAGCCTTGAGAAGGAGGCATTTGAGTCCATGTTCTCGGCGTGATTTTTATTGTTTTGTTTTGATAGTTTCCCCCTTTTTGTTTAAAAGAGAGAGAGAGACAGATTTAAAACTGGAGGGATAGGGAAGTGGAGATGATCAGGGAAGAGGGAGTGGGGAGGGAAAAAATATGGTCAAAATATTTTGTATGAAAAATTAAGATTTATTTTTATTTGTGTATATGTTTGTCGTATGTGTGTGCGTATGTGTGTGCATATGTGTGTGTGCCTGTCTACATGTCTGTCTGCGCGTGTGTATGGGAACCCAAGAAGGCCAGAAGAAGGTCTTGTTGGATGCCTATCATTAGAGTTGGTTCTGGGAAACCAATCTTGTCTGTTAGAAAAGCACCGAGCTCTTTCGCCCAGTAAGCCATGTTTCCCATCGCTGAAATATTATTGTTCTTTTTTCTTTTCAAGATTTATTTTTGTCTGTTTATTTGTTTGTTTGTTAGTGTGTGTGTGTGTGTGTGTGGTTTTTCAAGACAGGGTTTCTCTGTAATGGTCTTGCCTATCCTGTAACTCACTTTGTAGACTAGTATTGCCTTGAGCTCACAAAGCTCTGCCTGCCACTGTCTCCCTATTGCTGGGTTTAAAGGTATTTGCTACTACACCCAGCAATTTATTTTAATTTTTAATGACATATATGTTTTTATCTTTGTGTGAGCATGTGCAGATGAGTGTGGTTGCCAAGAGAGGAACAGGCATTTTATCCCTCTGGAGCTGGAGTTTTAGGCAGTGGTGAGTTACCTAATACGGGTGCAGGAATTGGTCTCGGGTCCTTTGGTAGAGCAGCATGGCTTCTTACCCATTGGGCTCTCCCTCCAGCTCCTATTCGTCCTCTTTTCTACCTGTAAAACAGAAATTTTAAAAACGCTTTAAAATATTTTGTTTTCTCTGTGGGTGCTTTACCTGTATAAATGTGTTTGGGCACATGGTTTTTGCAACCCTCTTGGAGCCAGGAGAGGGCATTGGAAATGGCGTTAGGTGCTGTGAGTGCTGGGAAAGGATGCAGATCCACTGGAAGGGTAGCCTGTGCTCTTAACCACGGAGCTCCTCACCAGCCCCTTGCCACTTTTTTGAATTGCAAAGATTGTTATATTTTTTTTAAAAACGTAATAGTGGTTATATTCAGCTCCTCCTGGTGTAGCTATTTCTTAATCAGCACATTGACTGATATCATAAGCATCTAGTAATATGGACTCTGGGAAATTAGAAGATGACATATATAATAAACATATATATATAATTATAGTAAACTTAATCATATGTATTTTATTGCCTTCTTTGTTTTTCAAGATGGGGATTCTCAGTGTTATCAGCCTTGGCTGTCCTGGAATTCACCTTGTAGATCAGACTGCCTGCCAAGGGCTGGGATTAAAGGCATGAACCACCACTGCCTGGTTGAGTATTTTGCTTTAATATGTGTTCCAGAAATTTTAGAGATGACATGTTGCCATGTTGATGAATTAGAACTCTAAGAAGATGTAACATCTTTCTGTTGTTTTGTTTTCCATCAGATTTCTAAAATAAAAATGGTGTCATGGGCTAGTAAGATGGCTCAATTGGTTGGCAAACTGGCACACCCGAGAAAATAGGAATCTCAGTTGAGGAATTGGTTCCACCAATTTGGCCTGTGCACAGGCCTGTGAATGTCTTCAGGGCATTTCCTTGGTTGTTAATTGATGTAGGAGGGCCCACTCCAATGTGGGTGTTGCCATCCCAGGTCATGGGGGCCTGATTTGGACAGGGAGGATAGCACAGCAAGCCAGTGAGCAATGTTCATCTCTGCTCTCTGCCTCAGTTCTTGCCTTGGCGTTCCTTCCTTGAGCCTTCGGCCTTGGCTTCCCTCAATGATCAATTGTGAACTGTAATCCATATAATCACTTATCTGCACAAGTTGCATTTGGTCATGGTGATACAGCAACAGCAAGTAAAATAGGACACTAATAAATGTAATTAGTTGTCACGGGGCCTATTTGGTGGTTGACTAAAAACAAACCAAAGAATCCAGATACATACTTTGTAATACAGAGTATTACAGTCACAGTTAGTGCAATCACAGAACAAGTATTAAGGTTTCTAACCAGTTGTAAGAAGAAGTATTAACCATCTCAGCAGGGAAAGACTCTTGCTATGCAACCATGATGGGCAGAAGTCAATCTCTAGAACCCTTGCTAAGATAGGAAGAGAGAACCAAGTCCCACAAGTTGTTGCTGATCTTCACTAGAGCGCTGTGGTGTGCTCACGCTCACCCCATTCATACTCTCCAAGCACAGCACACTAAGTCAAGGTTTTAGAAAGATGCACAGATACTGTCCACCAAATCAAGTGATATATCCTTTTCATCTAGAGAGGATGCTGGATTTTAAACAAATTGCATCCCTCTGATAATCCCGTGAAATTGTTGCTAGACTCTTAGGGAGAAGATGGTGTCGTTTTTAACTTGGGGTACAGTTGCCATCTACTATTTGAGAAATCTCCCTAATTCTTCACAGCTATGGAGGAAGGGATCATTCTAGATCTCACTTCCCATTCACTGGGAGAATTGTTTTGTCCAGCATTTCAAAGTACACACCTTTTTTATTAATTCATCATTTATTATTTATTTATATTTTATTTATTTATTTTGTGGCAGGGTTTCTCTGTATAGCCCTGGATGTCCTGGAACTCCCTCTGTGGATCAGGCTGGCATCAAACTCAGAGATCCACCTGTCCCTGCTTCCCAAGTACTGGTATTAAAGGTGTGTGCCACCACCGCCTAACAAGCACACACATTCTAAGGACAGTTGCTATTGAGTCCCTGGTGAGTAGTAGACAATCAGATTTTGTGATGAGAGTTGTTTAGGAAGATGAGATGCAGAAAGAGAAACTAACAAAATTATCTGCACCAGAGCTCGTGCTGTCCTGATGTCTCTTTCCCAGAAAGCTCCAGTTTACTTGTAGCATTTGTGTTTGGGGAATCTTAGTCTGTATGAGCAGAACAGTGTGATGACCGAGACAACGTAAACACTTGTGGAACATAGTGTCATGTCAACTTCTTATTAATCCTGTGTGCATCTCCAGTACCATGAGGCTGACTGTCCTGGAAATATATGTGTGTGCTTTTAGGAGCCAGTGACCTTTGAGGATGTGACCGTGAAGTTCACCCGGGGGGAGTGGGCTCTGCTGGATCCATCCCAGAAGAAGCTGTACAAAGATGTGATGCGGGAAACCTTGAGGAACCTGGCTTCTATAGGTACCTGAGCATTGCCTTTTCTAGTCCACCACAGGACAAGTGTTTCTAGTTTATCCGTGCTGATGTATGAATTGGATTATGGAAAGGGGATGGGTGTGAATATGTCAGATGGGATCACTTATACTTTCAATTTAGCTGTTGTCTAATTTTTTCTGTTATTAATATTTCTTAACGATTTCTCTCATTCTGCATTTTAGGAAACAAGTTGGTAAACCAGAAGGTTATAAACGAGTATGAAAATCTCTGCAGAAAATTAAGGTAATTTGTTTCCCAAGCCACATTTTATAGTTCTGTTGTGCTAGGACATTTTATGAAGAAGTAAAAGATGTATTTGATATCCAGCATCAAACTAATTTTGTCTCAGGAAATTTTTTCCAAAAATTAAAATGTGTTAAGTATCAGCAAAGTCCATCGCAAACTAGAATATGATGATGTCACGTGTCATGTGCTGTCATAGTTCATATACTTGATGCCATTCACAGTATCTTAGTTTGGTTTTGTATCGCTGGGATGAAGACTATGAACCAAAGCAACTTGGAGTGGAAATGGTGAGTTTTCCCTTGCAATTTGAAGTCCATGATCAAGGGATATCAGGGCATAAAGTCAAGCAGGAAGCTCTGCGTGTGACCTGAAGGCAGAGGCTGTGGAGGAATGCTGATTACTGGCTTGTTCAGTTTGTTTTCTCATACACTTCCTGACCCCCTTCCCAGGAGTGGCATTGCCCACAGTGAACTACACACCTTCACATTGATCATCAATCCAGAAAATGCTCCACGGGCTTGCTTACAGGCCAGTTTGATGGGGGCATTTTCTCAACTAAAGTTCCCTAGGTTTTGTCAAGTTGACAAATTACTAACCAGCAAAATGTAGCTGGAGACTGTGTGTTCATTTCCTGGCTGCCCAGACCCAAATAATCACAGAGAAACTATATTAGTTAAAATGCTGTTTGGCCTATTAGCTCAGGCTTCTTATTAACTAACTCTTACATCTTAAATTAACCATTTCTATTAATCCGTGTATCAGCACGAGGCTGTGGTTTACTGGTAAAGGTCCAGCATCTGTCTCCTTCAACAGCTACATGGAGTCTCTCATACTCTGCCTGCTCTCTATATCTCTTCCACCCTGGCTATATTCTGCCTGCTATAGGCCAAAACAGCTTCTTTATTAGCCAGTGGTAATAAAACATATTCATAGCATAAGGAGGAATCCCACATCAGCAAAATTGACTCCTTGTCTTCATTACACACAGAGACCTCAGTGTTAAACCCTAACCTGCCCTTTCTGTTTGTCCACAAGATGTCATGGTAATATTGATATCACAATTTAAAACATTAAAAAACAGTCTTAATAAATGTCAACAGTTTAAGTCCAAGTTCTTAAAAATTCAGTGTTTCTTACAAAAGTCGAAAGTTACCAAACTGTGGGCCCCTACAATATCCAAAAAAATATTTAATCAGCTACATACTTTTTTTTACTCTAGGAGGAAAGAACCAGGGCATCGTCAAAATCAAGGCAAATCAAAACCGATTTCCAGCAGTATAACAGTCAGTGTGCCACATCCAGAGCTGAAACACCAGCTCCAGTTCCCCACCTCCGTGACTGGCAGCTCAAACAGATCATCTGTCAGACTCAGGCCAGTTCCACATTATCACGTACGGTCCTGAATGGTTGTCCATCCTACTGGTATCACCAATGTGCTAAGGTGTCCACTGTACCCGAGGCCCCGCCTTTTCCTACGTAGACAGAGCAAAGGCTTTATTTGCCTTATGTGTCCCGATCATAGTCCGTCATTAAGGGATGTAAAAGCAGGAGCTCAGGGCAGGCCAGGGGCCCAGAGACAGGGACTGAGACAGAGACCGTGGAGGAAACTCCTTTCTCACTTGCTCTCCTGGGCTTGCTCAGACTGTTTCCTTTCCTTTTCTTTCTTTCTTTCCCGTTTTCTTATATAATCAGGACCACCTGGTGCCCGGGGCCAATACCACCCGCAGTGGCTAGTCTCTCCCACAATGCTGATGGATCACGAAAATGCCCCCACAGATATGCCTAAAGACAATCAAATGGAGACATTTCCTTAGCTGAGATTCTACACTGTGATAAGTTGACAGAAAACTAAGCAGGGAACACTTCAGCATTTCAAATGGGATACAGAGGGACCAAAAGATTGCCTAGCCAGTATTAAGGCTGTCCATGCAATCACAATGGCCTGAGTTCAATGACCAGAACCCATATAAAGTGGCACATATCTGTAATCCCTATACTTCTAAGAGAGACCCTCCTTCAGCGACATGGAAGGAAACAGTACTCCTGAAAGATATTGCGAGCTTCTTTTTTGTACTGTAGCACACATGCATATCCACAAACACAATAAATGGACACATTGTTCAAACTTAATGTTGTATTGATTTATCCCCCAGTCATGGAGCCAAATGGGGAATGGCTAATTGTCAGTTTATTTCATGCACATGCAAGTATTTAAGAGAGAAGATGATTTTGACTAATACCATTGCACATCCAAACCGTGCATAAGATTTGGATTGAAATTTGTATGGAAATGCTGTGTAAGTATTTAATGTTCTCAGGAAGACATACCCCACCATTCATGAATAGCATTGTTTTTGTTATAGCTGTCCTCAAGTGGTCTTTGAAAGCATTGCAGCCCAAACATGTTACAAACTTTTCCGAACATGAAACCAACATTTCTTTCCTTCAGTCATTAGTAAACAAAGTCTTAGTCATGTGCTCTTCACCTGTTTTGCAGCAGTCAACTGGTAGAGAAATTCCGTGACTGTAAAGAAAGTCTTCAGTGTCCAGAAGTCTTCAGCTGTATTCCAGAGCCTTCTGTGAACCTGAACTCTTGTCCAGGACTTGCCACGCATGAAAAGCATGTGTGTGAAGAAGGAAGCATTGGACGTTCATCTCTAGGTGTGCCCCTGAACCATCAGGAAGGACAGAAACCTCACAAAGACCAGGACTATGGACAGAAGTTGTATAAACATAAGGGGTTTGAAGGCAGCTCCAGTTCTCCTCTGTCCCTTCAGACACATAAAAGTGCTCACACTGGAGGGAAACCTAAAAATAAGGAGTGCAAAGAAGACCTTCTTTGTCTCCGATCTGTTCAAACAAATGAAGAACAAGCCCATGCAAAAATATCTTACGCTCACAAGCAATGTGGAAAAGGCTTCACCCATCCCAACCCTTTACAAAGGCATGAGAAGGTTCACAGTGTTAAGAAGCCCTATGTGTGTGAACAGTGTGGGAAAGGCTTTGCTCGGTTAGGTAACCTTTTAAGACATCAGACATCTGGCACTGGTGAGAATCCTCTTCTGCCTAATCATTATGGGAGAACTTTTCCTCGTTTTGCTTGCCTTCGAAGACGTATGGGAATTCGCAGTGGTGACAAACCCTATGTGTGTGATCAGTGTGGGAAAACTTTCCTTGATTCTACTTACTTTCGAGTACATAGAAGGATTCACACTGGTGTAAAACCGTATGTCTGTCAGCAGTGTGGAAAAGCCTTCACTGCTTCTCGTTACCTTAAATCACATGAACTGACCCACACTCGGGAAAAATCTCATGTGTGTAAGCAGTGTGGAAATTCCTTTACCTTTTGGTATCAATTCCAGAAGCATAAAGTAATTCACAGTGGTGTGAATCCCTATGTTTGTAAACAATGTGGGAAGGGCTTTACCTATTCCAGTTCCCTAAAAACACATGAAAGAATTCACACTGGCCAGAAGCCCTACGTGTGTGAGCACTGTGGGAAAACCTTTGGTAGTTCTGGTAACCTTAAAAGACATGGAAGTACTCACACTGGAGAGAGGCTCTATGTCTGCAAGCAATGTGGGAAATCTTTCAATAATCACAGTTCCTTTCAGTTCCATAAGAGAATGCACGCTGGGGATAACCCCTACAAGTGTAAGCAGTGTGGGAAGGATTTAGCGTCTTCGTCGTCCCTTCAGAGCCATGAAAGGAATCACTCTGGAGAGAAGCCCTTTGTGTGTTTGCAGTGTGGGAAAGGTTTCAGTTCTGACAGTTCTCTTCGCAAACATAAAATAATGCATAGTGAGGAAAAGCCCTACGTGTGCAAGCAGTGTGGGAAAGCTTTCCGGCGCTTCTTTGAGGTTCGAGTACATGAACGAGTCCACAGCAGCGAGAGACCCTACCAGTGTGAGACGTGTGGTAGGGGCTTTTCCAGTGTAACTCATCTGCGAAGACACGCACCAATTCATGGCAGAACCAATAAAGATCCTTGTAAATAACCCGAGGCAGTCTTCTCTTGCTTAGCTCTCACAGAAACCAAAGGACGGGAAACAGCTCATGCTATCAGTGTGGGAAAATGCCCAGCAGTTTCTAGAGAAGCTATTCTTTTGAATCGATGTGGCTTTAGTTCTAGAAGTTCCCTTCAAATACCGGAGAAAAGCTGCAAGGAACGTGATAACGTCTTTTGTGTTCTTTTCATTATGGAGAACATCCAAAATAGCTCACACTGGAAAAAAAAAACCTTATGCACACAATGTAGACAGCCTTTAGTTCTTAAGGGGCCCTCAAAAGACATTGTAGTAGTCATTTTGGAGAGAAACCCTTCATGTATAATGTGGTGGCTTGAATAAGAATGTTCCAGACATGTTTATATATTTGAATGCTCAAGTCCCAGGGAGTGGCACTGTGGGCAAGAATTAGATGTAGCCTTGTTGGAGCAGATGGGAACTTTCTAGAGGAAGTGTGACACTGGAGGTGGACTCTGAGCTTTCAAAAGCCAGGCCAGATCCACTCACTCTTCCTCTGCACCTATGGTTCAGGGTGTAGCTTCAGCTACTGCTCAAGTACCATGGTCCCAGACATGCTAATAATGGACTAAGTCTCTGAAGCTGTAAGTAAGCCCCCAATTAAATGGTTTGTCTTATAAGAGTTGCCTTTGTCATGATGTCTCGTCACAGCAATAGAACAGTGACTAAGACAGGGAATCTTATGAGTCTTTGATTTATCCTTTTTTTTTTTTTAAAGATTTATTTATTTATTATGTATACAGTATTCTGTCTGCATGTATTCCTGCAGGCCAGACGAGGGCACCAGACCTCATTACAGATGGTTGTGAGCCACCATGTGGGTGCTGGGAATTGAACTCAGGACCTCTGGAAGAGCAGTCAGTGCTCCTAACCTCTGAGCCACCTCTCCAGCTCCCACATTTATCCTTTTGTAGAAATGAAAGAACTCACTGAGGGTAGCCTAAAGTACAGAATTTGTGAGGTCTCCTTTATCATTTTGGTAGCGTTTGAAAGAATGTATTGAGAGAACTCCTGGCATTGGAAAGCTTGTGGGAATATTTCTTGGTCCAACTCAAAATTTAAGAAATAGCAAGGTTTGGGAAATAAGTTCCATTAAAGGAGATACTTGATTTTAATGGGACAGTCTCACCCACTGAGTCTGAGTGCAGGTGGTCAGCCATGCTGGGTGGGCCGAGATCCACTTTGAATGTCACTACTAGGTGTGGTGGCACAAGCATGTAGTCCTACTTGGGAAGCTAGTAAGAAGGATCCCAAGTTTCCAGAACCGTCTGGACCATATTTTGAGTTTCTGGTATTCCCAGGGAAACTGGGTTCCCTTTTTGGAAATTATATCTTGTTAATCATACACTTTAACCCTTGAACCCAGAAGAAATCTCTGGGACTATTTTTTAAACTTGGAGTGAGTAGCAACCTACCAGGCAAGCTATAGGTAGTTGTATTATGTTTCCCCAAACTCTTTGCCTCTCTCCCCCACCTCTGTGTTTGTGTGTGTGTCTGTCTGTCTGTCTTGTCTGTCTGTCTCATCATCCTTCTTCCCTTTCCAACTTTTAAAAAATCATGAGTAGTGTTTTGCCTGCATCCATGTCTGTCCTGCATATGTGTATCTGATGCCTGATGAGGCATTGGGCCCCCTGGAACTGGACTTACAGATAATTTTGAGCCTCCCCGTTGGGGTTCTGGGAATTAAACCTAGATCCTCTAAAGAGCAGCCTATGCTCCTAACCATTGAGCCATCGTCTTCCTATCCCCTCTTGGCTTCTTTGAAGTAGGCAATAGCTAGATAATAGCTGCTAGCTTAACTTTTATTGTAGCCCAGAATAACTTCACATTCGCTTACAATGCTCCTGTCTTATTCTATAACCACATTTTGAAGTAGTATTTTGACAGGAAGTATATGTCCTCATTAAAAAATACACAGCAAAAAATATTTATTTTCCCATTACTTCACGAAGACCAGGAATATGAACAGAAGTTGTATAAACGTAAGGGGTTTGAAGGCAGCTCCAGTTCTCCTCTGTCCCTTCAGACACATAAAAGTGCTCACACTGGAGGGAAACCTTCTAAAAATAAGGAGTGCAAAGAAGACCTTCTTTGTCTCCGATCTGGTCAAAGGAATGACGTCATGCCCATGCAAAGAAGTCTTACGTATGTAAACAGTGTGGGAAATGCTTTTCATATCTCGATTTCTTAAAAACACATGAAAAGATTCGTTGTGGTAAAAATACCCGTGTATGTGAACTGTGCGGGAAAGGCTTCGTTAGGTTAGGTTACCTTATAAGACATAAAATAATAATTCACACTGTTGAGAGGTCTTCTGTATGTAATCATGATGCAAAGTCCTATGTGTGTAATCAGTGTAGGAAAACTTTTTCTCATTCTGCTTCCCTTCGAAGACACACAAGAATTCACACTGGAGAGAAACCGTATGTATGTAAGCAATGTGGGAAAGCCTAAACTGTATGTATGTAAAGATTGTGGGGATGCCTTCAGGCTTTTGATTCAGTTGCAAAAGCATGAAGCAATTCACAGTGGCGTGAATCCCTTTGTTTGCAAGCAATGTGGGGAAAGCTTTACTTGTTCCAGCTCCCTAAAAACACATGAAAGAATTCACACTGGTGAGAAGCCCTATGTGTGTGATCACTGTGGGAAAACCTTTGCTTATTCTAGTACCCTTAAAACACATGAAAGAATTCATACAGGAGAGAGACCGTATGTATGCAAGCAATGTGGGAAAACCTTTCATTATTCTTTTTCTCTTCAAAGACATGAATAAATCCACAAAAGAGAGAGACCCTATGAGTGTAAGCAATGTGGGAAAGCCTTTAAGTATGCTTTTTATATTCAAATACAGGAAAGACTCCACAGCAACAAGAGACCCTATGAATGTAAGAAGTGTGCGAAAGGATTTATATCTTCTAATCAGCTGGAAATACACGGAAGAACTCACACTGGAGAGAGACCTTATGTATGTAAGAAGTGTGGGAAGGGCTTCTTAACATCATACCATTTGGGAAGACATGCACTAATTCATAGAAAAAATAAAGATATTTGTAAGTAACATGAGACAGTGTTCTCTTTTTTAATATACTTTTTAAAAGGATTTACTAATGATGTATACTAGTGTCCTGTCTGCATGTATCCCTGCCCGCCAGAAGAGGGCACCAGATCTCACTACAGAAGGTTGTGAGCCACCAAATGGTTGCTGCGATTGAACTCAGGACTTCTGGGAGAGCAAACCTCTGAGCCATCTCTCCAGCCTGAAACAGCCTTCACTTAATCAGCTCTCACAGAAATCAAACTACACGAGAGTGAAAGTTTATGTTTAAAATGTGGGAACATGTCATAGTGGAGAGAAAGAAGTGGGGTTTTGTTGTTGTTTTTTTTGTTTGTTTGTTTGTTTTGGTTTTGGGTTTTTGGGTTTTGAAAACAGGGTCCTGATTGTCCTGAAACTTATTCTGTAGACCAGGTTGGGCTTAAACTCAGAGAGATCCACTTGCTTCTGCTTCCCAGGTGCTGGGATTAAATGTGCATGCCACCACAGCAGAGCTTGAGAAGCTATATATTTTTTTAATTTGATGTGGCTTTTAGTATTAGAAAGGCTACAAGTAATGAGGGAAAGTCATCTTCATTCTTTTAATTGTGAAAAAGGAGTAAAATAGCCCACACTGGAGAGAAACCTTATGCACGCAATGGAGAAGGTCTTTAGTTCTCTCAGGGCCCTCAAAAGATATTCAAGTTAATATTTGGGAGAGAAATTGTTCATACATGGGAAATCTTCCAAATTTTTCAATTATCCCAGGTTTTTTTTTTTACAGACATGAATATGCTCACGGTAAATTAATAAAGGATTTGTAAAATATTCATTACCAGTTTTATAACACTTAAAAGAATGTATCTTGAGAACTCATTGTTGCAAAATATGTGAGAAAATTTCTTGGATCAACTCAAAACTTAAGAAATAACAAGGTAGGGAAACAAGGTTGATTAAAAGAGACAATTGGGGTCAGGCAGTAGTGATGCTCATTTTTAATTCCAGCACTCAGTAGGCAGAGGCAGGCATATCTCCAGGACAGCCAGGGCTACACAGAGAAACTTGAAAAACGAGAATTGGGTCCAGGGGATTGTGCAAAGATGGGGGAAGATCACCAAAGTCTAATAAATCAGAAGCAAACTTTATTCCAGAAACCAGAATCCAAGAAAAAATAAAAAATCTCCATGGACCACAAAAAGCTTCTCAGCTAGCTGAGACCACAGCCAGAGATGGATTTGCAAGGCTGTGGCAAAGGCTGGTTTCTGAACCAACCTTTTTCTTTTTCTACTAGGGGCACCAGGCATTAGGTCTGAACAAAGGAATTTTTGCAATCTCAAGGTAAAACTCAGATACAGATTGCCTTACTTTACAATCTTTATTAGCAGAGTTTTTCAATTAAACTAGTGTTTGTACTTAATCTGTTGTCTTCCTTGGTACTTCCAGGTGGTGTTTACTGAAGCCCTGCGCTCTCCCCTTTGATGCTGCCAGTTTCACACAGCAGGGATAATGCGTAACCCAGAGGTCACATATCTATTTCTTAAAAGTTGACTCAGCTCATATCCGTAGGCTAGCTCTCAGTTTGCAGAGAGATGCCTTGGCCTTGTAAATAGAGTTATGGGGTTATAAAGCGGAATAACCCACTGTTAATAGTTAATCCTTAAGCTGCTGAGAAAGCTGCTGACAGTCTGTTCTCATTCTCCTAGGCTTACAACTTTATATTTCTTTATTTCTACATTCCTGTTTCTGGAATCTACATTTTTATTTTTATATTCTTCTTGGACTCTTTAGTTGACACACATGTGCACTCACTTCAGATCTAATTTTCTGCTATAAGAATGACAAAAATCTGTGCCATATCAGGTGTAAGAGCAAATACTGGAGAAGTCCCTTGAAAATCCCTTAGGCTCATTCTGACAAATGCCAGCAATACAAAGGACTGAACACTTTTGTGTGTGTGTGTGTGTTCCTTTGCTTTATCCAGAAAATACATACTGTGAATGAAACGTCATATTTTGCTATTCTAAGTTGACCCTGAATTGGCCATCTTCTGGCATCAGCTTTCCCGATGTTCCCAGGCAAGGTGTCAGCCTCCACATCCAGCAGTGTAGTTCATTTTTAAAGATCCATGTCTGGGGTCCAGATTTCTAATCCATCCATGTAGGTGAAGTGGAACGATCACTTTCACCCAGCAGGGGAGACCTTCATCTCAAAAGAAACTCATGAGAATAAAGCAAAGTATAATGATATGATCTTGTCGTTTGCTGAAGAGCTAGTGTGTAAGTTTAATGAATGATGTGTTTTTATGCATGAGTTAGTTTTATCTTTCATCTGGTTTTGTTTTATTTAGCAGCCCATTGATATTTTAATATGTAAGTATTTATTAATACTGTTTTATTATGCCAGGCAGTGATGGTGTGTGCCTTTAATGTCAGCACTTGGGAGGCAGAGGTAGGAGGATCTCTGTAAGTTGAAGGCCAGCCTGCTCTACAAAGCAAGTTCCTGGACAGCCAGAGCTACATAGAGAAACCTGTCTTGCAAAAAAAATTAACAAAATAAAAACAAACAACAAAAAAGTAT